GCTGTCCGCCTCAACGTCAAGACCAACTCGGGCTGGTCGCCGTACGGGCAGTGTGGATGTTGTGCAATGGTCTGTATAACCAGTTATATAGTTATAACTACCGAACTTTTCTACATTTGTACAAATATATAACAGCGCACATTCGCTCCGCCCGGCTCTTGAAGCGCCAAGAAATTGGGAGCTGTGTGAGCGCCTGACGTCCTTCGCTGTGGAGCCCCCCGCGGGGTAGGCCCGCCCGCCGCGCTCCGCTGCCGGTGGGGCTGGCCTACCCGCCGCCGTCAAGTGCTGCATAGCGCCGCGCTCCAGTGCGGGCAGCCTGCTGCCCTCCTTGTAGCTGTCCAGCACCGAGTGCGCGGGCACGGAAGGGGTGCCTACAGCTTATTGAGCCGTGCGGGGGACTTATCCCACTACGGCATCACCTCGCCGAGCACTTAGGTGTCGAAGAGGTTGCGCGGTGGGCACACTGTTAAAAGTCTGCAAAGCATTTGCTTCGCAGGCTTGCAAAGAAAACTGAGTCTTCGCAATTACAAAGCATTCCTTCGTAATTGCGAAGCATCGCTTTGCAGCCTGCGAAGCCTGCGACTTTCTTCGCAGCTTGCAAAGTGCATGCTTTGCAGGCTGCAAAGCGATGCTTCGCAATTACAAAGGAATGCTTTGTAATTGCGAAGACTCAGTTTTCTTTGCAGGCCTGCGAAGCAATGCTTTGCAGACTTTTAACAGTGCACTGGTGATAGTGATGCCGCAGCAGGGCTGGGCTCTGCATGAACCTGCGGCCGTCGACAACAGAGAACGGGACCTCCCAGGCGCCGTGCTCCGACAGCTACTGATCAGTTTTGCCACTCTTTCCCCTCTCTTGAATCGGCGTTACCCAATGATTTTAGCAAATCCGCCTGCACCTGCGTCTTCTCTAAATCACTCGGTACATAGGTTTACGCCGTCGTTTGCTGCCCAGGCCCTTGAGGCCGGTCGCGCCGCATGACTATCTATGCAGGTGGGGCCGCTCGAGCTTAGGGCCCCCAAATTCAAAACTAATGACAACGCTGGAATCACCGGACTTTCCCCTTTTTCATGAAAGTGTGAATCGCTGTGCGGATCTTGATCTCACACCCCGAATGGCGTGAGCTCCGGCAGCGCTCCGCTTTGCATGAAGGCAGTGGGCCGCGCGGCGCCTCCAGCTCTTGCACATGAAACCGCTCTTGCACCGTCTAAGTTATGATCGAGAGAAACACTGTGTCACAACGGCCAAAGTTTGGGCTTTTCAACAGTGTTATCATATTCTTGATGCGAGCAACACTGCCCGTACGGCAAGCAGCTCAAGTCCGCCTTTCCGCCAAGGCGGACTGCGGATTGCCTGAGTCGACTGCCAGTTCAAGCGTGGGAACGTGAACAGCTGATGTGTAGTGGAGTGGAGGGGGGGGGGGGGATAAGGTGGGCGTCTATCAGGTTCACCGCCTGCCCGACCTGTTTCTCTAGAGGGGTCTCCACAGTGAATCTTCTAGGTGTGTGACAAGGGATAACGCTTTTGCAAGATGGGCACGCCACCAGCATTACATACCGAGTGGAGTTTGTTTTTTGACATTAAACACTACTCGCCATTCCGAAGAACCCAATATTCCTTCCGTGGAGTGGTGTTTTGGGTAGCTTAGGTTCTCCAGACAATTGGGGCCCAATGAAAAACGCATACCGTAGGGCCTTCTGGAACCCCAACCTTTGCAGACTAACTTAATAATAATGTACAAAAAAAGGGTTTGACTGAATTATTGTAAATGTAAAGGCAGGCTAGTAGTAAATAAAAAGTTCCACTTTTCACAGCAAATACAAATTTAGAATCTTTGTTACTTTTTTTTAAAATCTTTAGAGATCCAATGAGGTTTCATTTCAGCTAAACAGGAAAGGAACAAGTATATTATTTTTAAAACTCATACCTGTATATAACATGCAACTTAAAAGATTTGTGGAACATGACCAATTGGTTACTGATTATATTCTTTCCTCACCTTGCTAAAAGCAACAACTCATTACTAAAACTTAAAATTAAAAACAAAAAAGATTCAGCTCATTCTTATGCATCTAGTACAAGTTAATCAGCTGGAGAAGTAAAATTGTTTGGCATATTTGTTTAACACAGATTATTCAGCTGCCCCAGTTCGTTCCTGACAAACCTCTCGTATAGTGAAATAAATGTTATAGAACCCGCTTTCCCTTCAAAAAACTCCTATACTAGAAGCACAGCATGGATGCAATCTTTGATACACTGTTAAAAGAATTGGTCTTAAATTTCACATCGGTGGATATGACGCAATTTTCATATCGTTGATGTGAATTTTCACATCACTACGGATATGAAATTTCACATTCCAATGATGTGAAAAGTAACATCCACGATGTCAAATTTCACATCGGTATGGATGTGAAATTTAATATCTCAAATTGTGAAATAGAAAAATGGAATTTCCACGCTTCCCAGTTATTGCTCACGCTTTATCTCCGCTACCCTCATGCCGTCTCTTTTAACCCTTTAAGTACATTTTACTTTGTATTAAATTATTGTTTGAATACCTTACCGGACTGGGAGCTGAACCTCGGACTTCTGCGCTGCGAACCTATCGCGCTGACCACTTGACCACTGGTTTGCGATGGGAGGAGCGCTGGAGCTTACCCGGGACATTCCACGGCCGCACACCACGCCGGACTCGGCCGGGGCGTTCCCGGAAGCGCACGGCGTCACCGGGCCAGTGGTGTCGGCCGTGGCAGCCCTAAGCAGCGTCAGGGCTTTCCAACAAGGTGTTTTGAGGCCGGGTTTTTTGTAATTTGCTTCCAACCGTTGGTCTTGTACCGTCACACCACTCCTTTTAAAAATTTTGGCTTACTTGGTGAACAGTCGGACTCAAAACTCCGAGCGAATAAGAATGCGTAAGACGTAGCACTGAGCAATGCCCCCAAACAAATGCACCATCGTGTGTTAAATTTTTGACCTGTAATTTTACTGTATAATTCTAAGGGTTTTAAAATAAGGCATTTATCGCTCCGATCGGAAACAGAACCAGGGGAAGATCTGGATGAATACTGATCTCAAACAGGACAGGCAGTGGCCCAAGAGAGGCACCAATGTAAAAATTTATAACGGCAGTAAGAAACATAAATTTTAATGTCAGGGTGATGTGAATTTTTGTAAACGCGATGTGAATTTTCACAGCCGATATGAATTTTCACAACGGATGTGAACTTTAACATCCAAATGTAGATTTTCAAATCCCGATTCGACGACGTGAAAATTCACATCAGTTTGTGAAAGTGTCACATCAAATGTGATGTGAATTTTCACATTATTTTTAACAGTGTAATCAAACCAATTAATTGCGAACAAATGTCAAAGCAACATGATTCAGACAAATCTACACGATATATTTTTAAACTTGGCTGGATCAATTAAAAGTAAATAAGTGCTAAAAAAAAGAGTATGTAGAATGCAATTGTCTACTAAAAACTACATCTTAGCTATATCTTCAATAGCTTAACACTAGTGTCCTTCTCAATTGATGTTACAAACCTATATAACAACATTGGAACTATTCAACAAAATGACCTTGAGGGAAAGCTTAGGCACTCTCACTCAAACTGTACAGACATGAGCAAAACTGAGATTCAAAGTTGGCACGAACTTTCGAGACTTAACAATTAAAACTTGCCCTAACTTTGGCTACTAAAATGTGGTGCCCAAACATTACTCTTAAAGTATCTACACTCTAAAGAATACAAATACAAACTATATACATAGAGAAATAATGGGAAAAGTGTAGTGGACGCATCATGTCAGTGTTTGACTTTAAGAAAAGTGGCCACTACTCGGTCTGGCACACGTCACAACTCCACTGCAGGTAGTTCCTCCCTGTGAATATCATCCACTCGGCCATAGACACCCCTTTGCTGCTGTTCCAGCAGGCCTGAAACATTTTTTTTACCCCGTCTTTGCGGAGTAGAATTTGGTACCATCGCCAAACCCTGTATTAGTATTAGTATTAGTATAAGTATTATTATTATTAGTTTATTTTTTATAGGTAGAGTTTTTCATTGTACCCTTCCTGTCATAAATAGAATATGGGTGAAGATGTCGCCTAACTTACACCATACTGAGCACAGTACTCGTTCTTCCACCTCCGCGTAGCGATGTTTGGAGCTTGGGGGATAGGGAGGTAAAGAACGAGTAAAAAGGAAATGCATCCACCGTGAGAAATGTTTGTAGGGGTTACACGGATATTTTTCATGAGAAATATCGTAAAGTTACGACATTAATTTGTAAAATTACAAAACTGCAATGACATTTTGTGTTGACTTAATACTTTTGGACGATCACGAATGGACTGCAGTAAATTTGCGGTACCGATCGCAAATGTACAACATCATTTGTAAATCACAAATTACGAAAAATATTGTAAATTTACAAAGATATTTTTCACTGCAGTGATCGTTAAAACGACGCCAATCCACAAACACAAAGCAACAACGACAAAGTTTTCCCCGTCGGTTTGACAACGGAGGGACGGCGGCGAGGCAGCGGCCCCTCCTCACGCTACTCCACGACGCCACCGTACTAATTGATTGACGAGTCGTGCCCGCCACGCCACGCCCCGCCACGCCCACGCCAGGCTCCGAGCCGATGAATGAGTTATGAACGGCCGACGGGGCAGACCCGCAGCCCGTCGGCCCGTCGGAGCGCTTGCGACATCCCCGCCATAGGGGAGCGGAGGGCCCAACTCCCCCCCCCCC